CACATGCAGCAGTAAAACCAGAGTTAATTAGTAGTGAGTTACTTTTATTCAACACATTTACTTGAGTAACTTAAAACAACAACAACAACAACAACAACAACAAAACTTTTAGGAGCATTTTTACTACACTGCAGTTTTTACTTGAAAATTTTATTTTGAAGTATCTCAACTCTCACTTGAGTAACATTTCTGGACTTTCTACCCACTGAATGAAAAACAAACCAAAAACTCACCAGACACACACCTGCAGTTTCATAAGTTTTTTTTTATTGAAAAAACTGATTAGGAAAAATGTTCTTTTGCCTGATTTTGTTATTTTTTTGCTACTTATATGAATTATTGTCATTTTAGTCCTTAAAATACCAAAATTTCCACTTTAAATTTTGGTCCATCTGATGATGTAATTTCTAAATATTAAATGATTGATAATTTGTTCACTTATTCAGTACTTGAGTCGACGTTTTACCAAATACTATTTTATTCTTACTTGAGTAATTTTTTGGATGGAAACGTTTTACTTCAGTAAAAATATGTTGAAGTAGTGCTGCTCTTGAGTGTTGTGTTGGAGCTCTGCTTGTGTTGCTAGGTAACGGGGCTGGACTATGGTTGCTAGGTAACGGGGCAGTGGCTGTTGAATTTTGGAATGCTGGTTGTTTTTTTTTTAAGTAGTTTTAGACCCATATGAAATAAATAAATGTCCAAATGTGATATTTTATTTTTTTTGCATATTAACTGCCGTTAACTTCTGCAGGGATCAAACGTAGCACAAGGAGAGGAAGTAGACAAGCACCCAAAAATCTGTCCACTGTGGCGGCGAAGTGATTTTCAGATGGACTGCAGGTTGTATGCTACAAGCTGTTTGCACTCATCCAGTTTCTGCAAGGAATCTTAACAACCTCCGAATCTGACGTCCATGCCAGTGGAAGTGCTCATAAAGGCTGGTATCGGATGGATCCGACTGGTACTGGACCTTAACCTGCGCCTGTTGTTGGACACGGGGATTTGTCGAGTCACGGGACGCGCTGCGTGCCGCTGCGAGGCGCATTCCACATTGAATCTCTGTTTCTGAGCATGAATAGCCACTATTCAAGGCGTTTTTGGAATGTTTTCTTTATGCGTATTCAGATATGTGCCAGAGGTTATATTTAGATCGGGTCCTCCTGGAGTCAGAAGGTTTAAAATTAGGAGGTGTCAGAATTCCAGTACAATTCTTAAGTTACTGTCAATAAATGCTAAAGGGCTGCTCTTAAAGGTGTAGTGACTTGGCAAGCGTTGCTGCCTGGCTTGTGTGTGATAAGATGCTTGAGAAACGTGTGTGGATTTGTCCTGATATAGCTTAAAAGTGTAAATCTTCCAAATGGTACACATGTGCATTTACACATCCATATATCAAGATTCTTGAGTGGCCGCTGTGTGCCAGTGCGTGTGTTTGTGCGTCCTTCTTCACATTAATGTTTGTAGGATCTGTTGACAGGGAAGCATGCAGCATTTTATTTGCTCAAGGGCTGAAAAAACACATGGGGCTAGCAAGGGAGCACTGTGATATGAGCCTGCTGAAAGCAAGCTGGCGAGCCAGAATTCAACCCCAGGATCATGAGTCAACTAAACATATAAACACGCAGCGCATAAACAGGAGCGTGCAACATAAAAACGTATTAATGCAAAAGTAAAAATAGGCGTTCTGCTGCTTGCTGACTTGCAGGACATACAAACGGAGGAGTTTTTATCTTTAGAAGCAGGAGTTCCTCAGTGTTTCTTTGCTGACGAATATTTAATTGTACACTTAAAGCTCTGGAATATTCAGTTATTAGCATAACTGTGAATATTCTTTTGTAAAATGTGTGAAAATGTGTAGATTTGGCATCATTTCAAATCAAACTTTACGTTTCTTGTTGTAGATTACCAAACCATTCTGTATCTACAAACACCAACTGACTGGATCTCGTTGACGACTGGGCACACCTTTAGAGCAATTCCAGTTTCTATTACAGCCACATGGGGGCGATAAAGCCTTTTTTCAGTGGTGGGAACTGCAAACCAAAAATGAAAGCAGCGCTAATTATAAATATTGTATAAAGTGATGTTGATGCACTAAATCCAACCATGTGAAGTGAGGGGAACATGTTTAGGCTCTTAAAAAATCATTAATGGGATTTTTTGCATGTTTTTGTTTTATTAACAAGTGTAACCATGCACTGCAAAACCACAAAATCTTGGCAAGTATTTTTGTTCTAGTTTGTAGTGCACTTTAAGTAATGCAAAACTAACTCACCAGTAAACTTCACATTTTCCCCATGTAATAATCTGCCACTGAAGTAGCACTTTTATATGAATATCAATGAATTATTGACATAAATCAAACTCCTACCTCTTGCTGAAAAGCTACTTATCAGTTACCTTTGTCTTATTTTAAGTGTACTAAGATATTTGCACTGGAAACTAGACAAAAATAAGATTTTCTGTTTTTTCAGTGTTGTATTCCTCTCTAATTTAATTTAGAGGTAGTCGAGTGTGCTAAATGTATTCAAGGCTAGAAAAATGCTAATATGCTAGCAAAATATCAGAACCGCTCTTAGCATGTTAGCATAAGTGTGACCCAACTGTGTTTGCTTGTAGAATAATAAATTACCTGAAGACCAAAGTGAATTTTTAAAAGCAAACCCTTTTTCTTTCTGCTTCCTTTGGTCCATAAGTGACAAATAGTTGTTTTCCTTCTTTTCACAATCCGACACGTTTGTTTTTATCCAAACATGCGTCGGTCTGAGTGCTTCATCCAAAGCATGAACACTCAGAATAAGGTTGAGTCTGCAACTGATGAAGGCAGTGCTAAAGAGAGATGTACAATAGTTTGAAAAGCAGTAAATGTTTCCATCGCTGTTCATCGTTGGTGACCGACTTACAGCCTAAACGAGCGTGGGATTCATCCTGCAGCTGCTCGCCATCCCGCTTTCATCGACGGGGTGGCAAACGGCGCTGAGGTCACCGCCAGACAGCCGGCTATATGTCACTCTGATCATTATCAGATGAATTAATGGAACATGTGAAAGCATAGATAAAAATATAATGTGCACCCAGTTAAAGTTTAAGCAGCAAGGACAGCGAGCTACGGCTAATTTACGCTCCTAACAGGAAGAGCTCAGAGGTAACAACCCAGAAAGTTCCTACTCTCCCGTACAGCAGATCTGTTAAAAGAACTAAACAAACGACGGCTTTTATTTTGTAATATTCATTTATTGTTCAATAAAAATAAATTTTAAAAAAGTGACGTGATGTCTCCTTCATGACTTTGCCTGATGGATCCACCAACAGTTCCTTGTAAACACAGGGCTGTATTTTTACCACACCAGAAAGGGAATTCAAAACCTTCTTTTCCCTCATTTCAGAGCCCGTAATGTCACTGACCTTTGACATCTCCAGTGGTCACAGCCTCCCCCCTCCCATCCATCTCTGGTTAGCTTCACATTGAGGGCAGATACAGTACATTCATCCCCTGATCTCCTTGGTTCAGTTTGTGGCCGAGTCATTTGTCTTTGCAGATGGCCGTCGTAAAAAAAAGAAAAAAAAGAAAACACGAGTAAAGAGGACATCTAGGCGCTAACATGAGAGCTGGAGCCATCAGTAAAACCAGTTACGACGCATCAGAACATCTTTATACGGCAGTTTACATGTAAAACAGGCTGTAAATGTGTAAGAAAGGTCAGCTCTGTAAACAGTGAGGACGCGTCTGTTAGCGCCCCGCTAGCAGGTTCAACATGCTACAGTAACCGAGTCAGTAAACTCAATAAACTCGATGCTACATTGTACTCGCTTTTATTTACAGCAATAAATGCTGCTGAGCCTGCAGGCGACATTTTGGAGCAGAAAATCATTTCATCTGGTGCAAAAATAGTCAAAGAACCTGAAATAATGAAATGGGAAATGTTACATAATCCAGTAATATTTTAAAAAGGGAATGTTTGGTTGGTAAGAAGCTTCACTTTTGTGCAGGAAGATCTGTTAGAGTAGCCAGAACTGTAAACAAATATTTATACCTCACTGTGGTTTCTGGAACATAAAAACTCAACAAAAGTCATTTAAATTAAATTTAAAATGCATCTGAAAAGGTAACAGTTTCATTTTAGTAGATACTTTTATTTACTTCCCATTTTTTTCTCTTTCCATCGTGATCACAGGGCTAACAAGCTTTTTTTTTTGCTCTTTTTTTAAGCATTAAACATGGAATAAATTATGTACCAGGTAGATATTTACATCTTTTTCCATCTTCCTCGTTTTCTGTGGGTGGAGTTTTGCTTCTAATTAAACTTTTTTTTTCTCAGTTTAATCTGTTTTAACGGTTTCTCGTTATCAGTTTTGTTACAGTTATCTGATATATATGAACATCTTAATCAGGGATGCAGCGATGCAGAAAAATTGGGCCGATATCCGATATTAATATTTCTGTTATGAGCAATAACCGATATTTACCAATGTTATGTGTATTTTACTACCATTTCAACACCTTTAGGAGAAAAAAACCAACCAGAAACAGATAAAAAAAATAAATATTGGTTGTATCGGCCCAGTGTTATTTATCAGATTTACCGATATATTAAATAATGTCTGGTATCGGATGTTGATGCTGACATTTTGGTGCGTCCCTAATCTCAATATGCGCTGCATACCCACTTTTTGCGCCACTGTGTAGCACCAATAATTTGTTCCATTGTCAGTGTTTTAGACAGGAAGTTTTTGGTGGCGCACCGCCTCCAAACCTGCATGTTTGATGTGTAAAATCTTTAGTTTCTGGGGAAATAACTTCTAAATATCATGATGTTTTAAGAGCTTTGTGACATTTTTCAGATTGGAGACACCAGAACAGATTAGCCGCTAGTTTTAGCATTCTGTACCATCTAATCTGAATTTATGCTAAATGAATATCTGTTTGGGTCTGAGTGACGACAATGTGTAAGAACGCTTATAAAGCTAAAACAAACAACATTTACTGTGCATGTGTTTTTCAGACAGGCCAGTGGATTTCTACAACAGTCACCAGAGCCTCACCTCGCAGGTGAGAACCTGTTGTTTGCCTTAACTCTTCTTCTGTGACGTGCTTTTAAATGCTTGCTTTGAAACTGTGTTTCTGTTTATCTGCAGAAACACAGGACCTCCTGAAGCCTTAGAAACATTCCTGATGCCTGTGGAGAAGAGCTCAGCGTGAAGCGCAACAGAACCAGAGACGTGGCTGCCGAGTTATGAAGAAGTCCTTCAAATCAAAGCAGGTGTGAAACATCCAACTGATGCAGGATCAGGATGAAACTTACAGCTGCTCCATGAAAGGTCAAAGGCCAGAATGGCAGCTAATGAATGTTTGCATCATGTCTATTTCAATTTAAACCAACACAATGGAGAGTATTGCTTCTTTTTCCCTGTTTGGAAAATTAGCTGGTTTAATAGGATCTATTTTAGCTGAACTAGAGTCGACTTTAGCCAAGACAGCACCACCGAATTTTGTGCTAATGTTCATTATTTCCTGCTTGGCTGCTAAATACCAGGCAAGGGAGAAACCAAGAGCGGCTCTGAGCGGCTTACAGGTCGAATGCTTCCTCATGTTTTACTTCTGAACATGTTTCAACAACGTGTAGCATCTCTGGAGACCGAAGCCTGAAGCTCTGAGAGTCGTAACATAAAGAGCTCATGGGAGAAGCCCTTTCTGTTTGGCTGTGACGATGCAATGGCAGCAGCTTAGGGCCACTGTATGGGAAAAAGAACATTTCTGCCAAAAAACTGACGTTTTGAGATCACAGAGATTTTCTAGAGAAAACCGGAGATTTCTAAGCTTGAAAAGTTGAAAATTTGCTGAAAAAAATCTGAATGTTTTTGGGTTAACCTAAAATTTTCTAGACCAAATCTTCAGGGCTTGAAAAGTATAAAAACAAAAATCTCAAGAAAATACAATCAGAAAATTGGAGATCGATCTCAGAAATTTCCCAGAAAAAGAAAAGAAATTTCAGAGCTCCAAAAAAAAAAACCTCAAAACAATTTGAAATTAAAACCTCTGATTCTGAATTTCAAAAATCTTGAAGTTTTTTTAAGCAAATTTTCAACATTTCTGAGTCTTATGGTGGAAATGTACTCCTCCTTTTTCTACCATGTCCCGAGCACGCCGTCGCAGTATGACGATGATGACGATGATGATGAGGATGATGAAGACTGTGTCATTTTGGAAAGGCGCGCAGCCCAAAGTGCTGGTTCCAGCCGTGCCAAACATCAGACTGTGATATTTGCTCAGTGTCACAATCTTCTGCTCAACGATTTCTGACAGCATGAAGAAAAAAAGATTTTTCTTTGTTTCATGTCGAGCGTTCATTTGGCGTCCATATGAGGGTCTGACGTTCGTAGAAAAAAAGCTCTTCTGTTTGGGAGAACACATTTCATAGAAACAGATTCTCAGAAAAAATAAAAACACTCAGAATGTTACAGTTTGCAGTCGAAGCAACAAAACGGCCGAATTCACGGATTTAAACAGGTTTAAAAACCCGAAGGCGCGTCACACCATGGTGGCCCGGCTGTGTTTGAGCGCCAGAGGAGAGTAGTCCTTGATGCGAACGCACAGTTTGCCCCGCAGCCAGGGGTTCTGCAGCTCCAGGGGGCAGAAGTCGTCCTGCAGCCACTTCTCCCTGTTGTCCACCACCAGCACCAGGCCGAAGTGCTTCACCTGCTCCGGGCCGTAGCACACACACTGCTGCTGCTCCTCGCCGCCGCCCAGCAGGCGCCGAGACACCGCGTTCATCTCCTGCACCACCAGCTGGACCATTTCCCGGGCCGTCGTGGCCGAAGTTACACAAAGCTGCAACACAAGGAGAGGAGGAGGAGGAAGAGGCTTAGCTTCAGACAGACACAAACAGCAACTAAAAACAGACGAAAATTAAACAGAAACTCAGAGAAATTAGTTAAAAAACCCACAAAGTGCTACGGGACAAACTAAGAGAAAAAAGGAGAATAAAGTCGTGAGATAAAAAAGTCAAAATCATACGAGAATCAGGTCATGCAACAAAAAAAATCATAAGTATAAAGTTGTAATATTACGAGATAAAAGCTGCAATATGAGAAAAAAGTCATAATAATTAAAGAATAAAGTTGTAGTATTATAAAAATTATAAAAAAGTTATGAAAAAAAAGTTTAATAATATGAGAATGAACCACAGGAGCTGAAAATGTTACAAATATGGCAACTTTGGTCTAATGATAATAATAGATTTTATTCATAATGTCCTTTATATCTTTAGATCTCAAAGGCAAGAAATAAAATCAAAACAAGCAACAAAATATGTAAAGAAATAAAAGAGATCAAAACCAATATCTAAGAAAATGAACCAACAATTTTGCTAAAAATAAACAGTGGGTGGATTGTTGTCACATCCGTAGGGAAACAGGCTGGCGGTGCCGCGGTACCTTGACGCTGGTCTCGTTGGGCAGCCCGGTTCGGTACTGAGGGTAGACTCTGAGCGTGGCGTGGCAGCCCTTCCTGAACACGGCCGGCGACGGCGAGTTGAGTCTCTGCGTGCCGCTGTCCTCCGATAACGTCCGAGCCGGCGGACGCTGAGGCGCGCAGCGCTCGGCGGAGCAGCAGCGGTCCACCGACGACGGCCGGTGCCAGCGGCTCTGCGGCGAGGCGCAGGGGGAGGAGCGGTGGGGCTGCGGCTGGGCCGACGTGCTGGACGGGAACTCCAGGCTGCTGGTCCTCACGCAGAAGGCCTGCCGCTTCTCTGTGATGTGCAGCAGTTCGATTTGCCTGCTGGGGAGGATGAAGTCGCTGTCGAACAGCTCCGGCGGGCCCCTCCGCTTCTCCCGCCCGCCGCCGCCGTCCCGCCCCAGCTGAGGCTCTGAGGCCTGGAGGACGTCCGGCGTGGAGTCCCTCAGGGGGCTGCGCCCGCCGCCGGGGCAGCTCAGCCCCCCCGAGCCGCCGCCGTCGCTGCGCAGGAAGCCGCGCGGCTCCAGGGGCGCCGAGGAGGACAGGGGGGACGGGGGCAGCAGGTCCAGCTCACGCGGGCTCTGCGCCCGGCTGGAGTCGTAGTCGCTGTCGGTGGTGAGGAAGACTTCAGAGGAACCCTCTTCATCTGACAGACCGGGATAATCTGAGGGAGGCAATAAAACAGTAAACCTACAGAGCCTCGGAAAATTATTCAATTCATGATACATTAAAATGAGATCAATATTTTCATCAGAATTTATCGATTTTCTCTTTCTACCAAAAACTGGATGATAAAAATGCTCAGTCTGGTAAATTGGTCTCAACTAGCCTCATTTTTGTTTATTTTGAATTTAAAGTGTATTAATCTCTGAGAATATGCTCTCGCATTATCATGATATTTTTACCGTTACATTACTTGAAAATGGTCTTAAAATAACGATATTATTGTTTATCACAATAACTTCCAGGACAATTTATCATCCAGAAACATTTAACGTGACAGAAATAACATTTTGTCAGATCACAACTACTGATGCTCCGATCCACTATTTTCACTCCCGATACCGATATCTGATGTATCGGTTGATACTGATCCGATACGTAAAAACGGCTGAACTGACTTAAAGCGATTCTTTTTCTGAAACAGATGTACTGAATTACATATTAATTTGAAAACTCACATTCAACAGCACATTTTAAAATACCAACAGCTGCATAAATTACGCAAAAACAGCTTTCAGTGAAACTAGGAGCAGAACAGCCGACGTAAAATAATTTCAGGAAGTGCAGTGAGAATGTCTAAATATAAAGCAAAATGAATAATAAGAGCACAAAGCATAGAACTAGACTGAATAGATTTGCCCTTATGGATCAGGCCGATACCAATTGGATCGGTGCAACTTCACTGGGATTTAGTGATAAAGATTAAGTAGTGGATTTTTTTTTAATAAATACAATTCTGAAAAGTGTGGCATGCATTTATCTTTAGCTTTACTTTACAGTCGCAGGACTTCTGCGATACGTTCGCTGCGGCTTTATTCTCATAATGAAAAACGGCTCTAATGCTTTAAAACTCTGCCAAAATGTCGTAAAAACACATTTCTGGACAGGACGAATGTTTCTGCGAGGCGCTGCAGTGCAGACCGTCTGCAGGTGCTGCTGACCTGAGTGTTTGCGGCAGGGTTCTGGTGAGGGCATGGGGGACGGCATGAAGTCCGGCTGGGACGAGGTGGAGGCCGGTTTGTCCGGCAGAACCTCCTTGGAGAAGTCTATGATCCAGCTGATGGAGATTCCTCCTGTGGGCTGCTTGTAGCGGGCGTACTGCAGGGCGTCCATGATCCAGCGGGCGTCCCGCCACATCTCCTCCATCTGCTGCAGAAACCAATTCAGCTCATCATGAATATCAAAGCATATTAGGTTCTCTGTAGATTGACTAGGGGGGAAAGGAATGCAGAAAACTCAAGTTTTAAGAATTTTATCGAAAAATTTTGAATTTTCTGAGCGTGAAGTTAGTTTTCCCAGAAAAAAGTCAGAAATTTTGAGATTAATCAGAAATGTATTGAAAATTGTCTTGGTAAACCTCAATTAGTGTTAAAAAAAACTGTAACTGTAAATTTAAAAAAGTACAATTCCCCCAAAAACTAAAAGTTTCAGAATAATCTAAGAAAATTCCTAGAAAAACAGGAACGTTTGAGTTTGAAAAGTTAAAAATTCTCTGGAAAGAAACTCAGACGTTTTGAGATTAATCTGGAATTTGTTGAAAATTGTTGCAATAAATGTCGATTAACAAAAAAATTACTGAAATATTTTTTTTACTTTTTTCTCCATCAAAAAAAAAAATCTGAGCTTGAAAAGTAAATTTTTTATCAATATTCTACAAATAGTTTTGCATTTTTTAAACTGTTTTCTCACTTTTTGTGCTTTTTTCCCACGAGAGAATAAAAAATATCAGTAAATTCAGAAATATGACTAAACAAAATGTAACATTACAACAGAAATGTAGTAATTTCTTAGAAAAACAAGGACATTTCTGAGTTTGAAAAGTTTGTCAGAAGTTTGAGATTAAGAAATGTTCTAGAAAAAAATTGGAAATTCCTGAGTTGCCAAAGTCTAAAATTGTCACAATAAATTTCAATTAATGTTATAAAAACTGATTAAAATATAGTTTTTTTTTGTTTTTGTTTGTTTTTTACATTGTTTTCTCGTTTTTTTCCACCAGAGCATCGAAAAATATCAGTAAATTCAAGAATCAGATTAAATAAAGTCAGTCAGCTCCACGGCGTCTTCATGTCTCTGAAGCTTTCGGCTGCATCTGTGCGGATCTCCCTGGTGGTGCAGCTGATACCTGCATCTGCTCCTGGACCTGCTGGTGCTTCTTCTTGGCGGCCAGCAGCTCGGCCTCGGAGAACGCTTCCCGCAGAGCCTGCTGCGACATGAGCGACTCCAGCTCCAGCAGCGCCGACACTCTGCAGTACTGGCCGATGAAACCGGGGCAGTACGCGTTAAAGTGGACTGCAGGGAGGCAGAAACACAGGACAGCGTGTTGGACAAGCAAAAAAAGGAAGAGGAGTTTTCACTCAAAGATTTTGAGATTAATCTAAGAAATGTTTGAGAAAAAACCTGGAAATTTCTGAGTTTAAAAAGTCGAAAATGTGCTAAAAAAACTCAGAACTGTTTATATTAGACATGTTCGACTAAAAACCTTGAAGTTTGAGTTTCAAAAGTAAAACTTTTGGATTCAGGAAATTCCAAGTTTTTTCTAGAAAATTTCTAAACTTTGAAATAAAAATAAAATTGCTACAAAAAACTAAGAAATGTTTAGATTAATCTCAGGAATATTCTAGTAAAAAAATTTTAGTTTTAAAAGGTCATATTTTTGACTCAGAAATGTTCACAGTTTTTCTAGAAAGTTTTAAGTTTGAAAAGTCAAAAATTGATAGTAGAAACTTTCATGTAAAAACATGAAAAATTCTGAGTTGTAACAGAAAAAACAGAAATCTGTTTTTTCTGGAAACCTTCTGAGCTTTGAAAGTCAAACATTTCCCAGTAAGAACTCAGAAATCTTGAGATTAAACTCAGAAGTTTTATAGAAAAAACGGATAAAATTAAAAAATAAAAGAAAAATAACTCATGAAATGTTCATGTTTTTCCAAAAAAGTTTGAGTTTGAAAAGTTTAACATTTTCTAGAAAAAACTCAAATATTTACAGTAATCCCAGAAATTTACTAGAAAACCACAACATATTTAACTTAAAACATCAAAAATCTGCAAAAAGAAAACTCAAGTTTTGAGATCAATCTCAAATTTTTGTATTTGGAAATGTCCATATTTTTCTAGAAAATTTTAGTTTTTTCTAGCAAATTTTTAACTCAGAATTTTCCAGGTTTTTCTAGAACATTTGTGAAGTTAGTCTCAAAATTACGGAGTTTTTTTCTAGCCATTTTTTTACTTTCAGAGCCTGAAAATCTTTGTAATTTTTCTAGAATTTTTTTTTGGCAGAAATATTTTCCTCTCCGTTTTCCTGTTTGTTGGCTCCAATCCTCTGTGGTAGAAACGCGGCTCTGTTCCAGGCGTTGGTTTCTCCTGATAAGGTCTGTGATAAAGACCGAAGCCGACTCCTGATCCACTGACCGAGTTCGAAGATCTGCAGCGGCAGCGTGAGGAGTCCGGAGCGAGGGGAGTACGGCTGGTTCTGACCCGGAGCCGTGCACACTTCATCTGACGGCGGCAGCAGCAGCAGGAACGACACCTTTTCTCCAAACTCCAGCACTTCCTGACTGTAGATCCGGAAATCCTGAGCCTGGAAAAACACAGAGGATTCAGCAAAAATGCTGGAGGATTTTTACATCATTGTTCTCCCTTAAAAAAAAAAAATCTTTATATTTTACAGCGTAGACTTCACTTATCAATGATACGCAGAAAGTTTTTAAAGTTTTAAAAACTGCAGAGCAACTGATTCAAACAAAAACTGCATGAAACTTTGGCTGCTGGGAAGAAAGTAGCTGCGTTAAAGTGAAGTCCTGAGCAAAACCTCTCCACCACCTTTAAGATGCTGCAGCGGTGAAAGTGCAGCAACAAAGCTGAGTGATTTTATGGGACCGGTTCTGGTTCTGCTGCCTGACCGTGGCCTCTGGACTCACCTGGTTTCCAGGGATGTTGATGTGCGCCATCAGGTCCTTGACGGCGCCGCGCAGGTCGTGTAAGAAGCGATGCGGCGCGCTCTGAACGTCCTGGTCCATTTCCAGAGCTTCATCCAGAGAGCTGAGAGCCTGCAGCCACTGCCACTCCTCTCTGAGGAACAGCAAACTGAGAGTTGGTACAGCTGCTGTCCATGTTACACTAATACATGTTTCAGGGATCAAGAAGGTTTGGCAGGAATAGTTAGGAGTGCATGCTTAAGACCGGATGAGAAAAAAATCAGTTTCTGGGAAAAAGTCAGAATTTTGAAAAAAAAAAAAAAACAATTCTGAGAAAAGTCAAAATTCAAAGAAAAAAGTTCAAATTTTGAGAAAAAAAATCTGAAATTAATGTCAGAATTCTGAAAAATATCAGAACTGAAATTCTGAGAAAAGTTCAAATTTAAAAAAAAAATAAAATCTGAGATTAAAATAAGGATAATTTTTTTAACAATCATTCTAAAATGGTAAATTTTATGAAATTCAAATAAGCAGATATTTAAGTGTAAAAATGTTCCCACACTGATTAAAGGAAGAAGTGTGCAGCGTTAGTTTTTACAGTGTAGGCTTGGAGCTCCTCCCACCTGGACACGTTGCTGTTGTCCCGTATCTTGGTGTGACAGAGAACGTTGGGCAGTTTCTGCGGCACCAGCACCCTGATCTGCTCCACCGACGTGCAGAGCTTCAGGTAGCCCAGGTACAAACCTGGAGACAGGAGCTTCCTGCTGCGCCTGTGATAGGCCAGCTTCTCCTGGGAAAGCAGAGAGCATGCTGGGAAACATTCCTGCAGACTCCACCAGAAAACACTCGTTTCCATGCATCTCAGCCTTAAATCAGGCCTGAAAATAACCCTGTTTTTCATTGTGCAATTTGTTCATAACGCGCCACAAGACAAATACTTTAGTGAGCTGTGGTTTCACCAGAAGAATCTGCACCATTGTTTCAGAACCACAAGAACAGAACCAGCGCTCACTGGAGACGAAAACAGCATTGCAACAATGCTATCGGGTTTACCCAGCTACGGGTGGAAATCAGCTTGTGGTTCCCTTCAACGCTGCGACTTCAGCGAACAAAACATCAGTTATATAACATTCAGTAACAACAGTTAGGTAATAATTACAAAATCCCAAATTTATGACTTCTTCTGCCTAAAAAACCAGTAAAATACCGAGCGCTCGCCGTGGATCCATTCATTTCAGTCTGGTCAACTGGTGTTTGTTTAAATGGGTGACAGTGATTGGAGGGACTTGTAATTGGACGCACTTTTCAGTTTACAGATCTATTACTGCGGCCTCGTGTTTTCTACGTTTCTCTGAATGAGACGTTTCAAAATATGACAGAAATTTCTGAAACAATCAATCATATTAATCGATTATTATTGAAATTAGCAATTTTTTAATTGTTAACTAGAGTTAAAAAAAAGCCACTTGGTGAAAAGAAAAAACATGTAGAGCAGCAACAGCAAAAAACTGTACAAAAAATAGATACTTTATTTAAGATTAAAAACTTTGGTCTGTAAATAAGTTTTAGCCGAAAGTTCTGAAGTGTTAAAGCTTTAGCTCCAAACGCTTTGTTACGTAATTATATTTAACCAATACAATGTTTATTTTCTTAATTAAAAAAGGTACTGAGTTATTTATGTATTTGCGTATTTTAATGTATATCTAATATTGTATATAAAATGATATTTCATCTGATTAATTGCCAGAATAATTGATAGATTAATCGATTACTGAAGTAATCATTAGTTGCAGCCCTAAACTGCGAAACACAAAATTTGACCAAATATTTTTGCATCTGGTACAGAAATCTCAGTACACTTGAAATAAGACAAAACAAACTAAGTGGTTAAATGAATAACATGTAGAGTGGACCAATTTTTAAAATCTGATTAATTGATTAATCGTCAGAATAATCATTAGTTGCAGCCCTAGAAATTTCAGAGAGAACATTTTGTAACCTTTAATTTTACCAAATTTCTGGTCAGGCAAAAAATCAGGAATGAGGCTTTCTCCTAAAAACCCTCCATCCCATTCCTTACTGCTGAGGAAACTGAGAAACGAGCGTCATCCAGCGGCTGAGCTGACTTCCGATCGGCCTTTCCTGCTGTGTGACTCACGTGGAGCGTGATGAGGAGCGTGTCCAAAGCGGTGGGCTCCTCGGGGGAGGAGATGGACTTGCGCTGCAGCTGGAGCTTACAAAGCTGCGTCCAGCGCACCCCGTCCAGGTTGGGGCAGGCGTTCATGTCCTTCAGCAGGACCAGCAGCGCGTTGCCATGTTTGTCTTTGATGGGCTCAAAATACACCTGGCCAAGGTCCTGCGTTCCCAACATTCCCTGAAAAAGCGCCAAAGAGTTAGCAGAAAGAGGGAGATGTCGGGTGATGGTTCTGAATATTTGCCTGTAGAACCGCCATGCTACCTGCAGCTGGGAGACGGCCTGCAGCATCTTCAGACGGGTCTGCAGGGTGCATGAACAGGAGGACTGAGAGGGACTGAGACACTGCTGGAGCCAGGATATCTCCTCCCATAAGTACGACACCTGCAGCAGAGTTAGCAGTTAAAGTTCAACAAGAACTACACACAGTTTCCAGACTTTGGCTGTTTTGCCACTGATCGACTAATGCATCATCTTTCTTTTGGTCATCTGATGCAGTGTTTCCCAACACACTGTCCTGCATGTCTTAGATGTTTCCCTGATTCAGATGATGCTTTGGAAACACCGGCTAGTAGCATGTCAAGTAGCATTGGGCCTTGGTATTTCGAATATTAGATGTACTCTATGAAAAATTCTGAAAGGGTGAATTTTCTGAAACTAATTTGGAGTTACGTTCCACAGAAACACCATGGGATTCATAAACCCCAGGAAGTTCATCCCTTCAGCTCTGACCTGTAAACCATGCAGGCGTAAAAAGACGTCTAACCTAATCTGGAACTGGACATAAAGTCTAACGGACAACCTGAAACAAAACCTTTGGAAACTCCTGAGACTCAGGACAGCTTCTTGTTTCCTACCTTGGTAAACCAAAGGAAGTCCTGCATGAGGCTGCTGGAGTATGAATCTTCTATCTCCACCACAGGAATCTGGTCCTCTGGAGTCACCAGCACATTGTCGTCTCTGTAGAATATGGAGGTCAGGTACAGACCTCTGGAGAGGAACGCAGCAAGAACAGAAACTGGAGTTTAACAACTAAAATTAGTGCAAATATTGAAAAATAAAAGTTAGCTGCTGGAAAATAATGATACATCTTAGAGTTACAGACTAAATAGTTAAAAGATGAACGTCTAATGCTTCTTATTGAACGCTAGCTTACCTTTTCAGGCTTTTTACGAATTTGCTGGTGGGTTGGAAGAGATGCCGGAGGCTTTTGGATACAGAGTGCTTCCTGCCTTGTGTTGGAGCTTTGCAATGCTCTGTGGGAAAAGATCGACTGAGTCTTGAACACATAAGACGTTTCCCCATTAAACAAAAATATGTCTATTTGAACTCATTATTAATGTTGGTTTGTAGTTTTATTGGTTTTAGAGAGAAAAATGAATTATGATTCTGGCTTTTCACCAATTCATGAGCTGTTAAATCATATTTGATCACATCAGCCTGTCCTGTGACTGCAGGCGGAAATCTGCATTTTGACCATCTGGTACCAAGCATCTCCTTTAAATGGTTAAAGAAAAGTTGTACATTGTTTCTGTGTAGATAAAGAAAAAGTATAATAGTGCATAAAAATAGAAAGTTTCAGAGAATACGACCAAATGTCAAAAGGTTTTACAAAGCAATATTAAAGCTGAGCAGACGTACTCAGTACAGGAGTAGTGATACTTCAACATATTTTTACCCAAGTAAAAGTAAAAAGTTGCTCAAGAAATTAGTTCAGAGTAAAAAGGTATTTGGTAAAAAGCAGATCAAATTATCAATCATTTTATTATGTTAAAGTTACATCAGACGGACCAAAATATAAAACTAAATGGAAATTTTGGTATTTTAAAGACCAAAACAACTATAATATAATACAATATAATACAATATAATATAATATAATATAATATAATATAATATAATA